TTCTTTCACCACTGTACTTTGGACACTCCCTCAGCAACCCCATCATCATCCTGCCTTCAGCACACATCAGCAGTGCAACCACAGCTGTTTGCAGCCCATCTTCCTGTCTATTGTGGCCTTGGCTAGGCTGGTCAACACTCTGCATGTTTCCAGAACTATCTGAGAACCAACTGTGCTAGATCTGTGCCATATACATAATTTTCATGTAGTGTGGTGTGAACGATCTGGTATAGTATGAAAGAGCACTCTTGTATTAAATATGTCTTTGTGACAACAGGCCTTCACTGTGTAGAAAGGTGGAGTTAAGTCAGAAGTTAATGCTCAGTACCACATGGTCATGCTGTGAACAGCAAAGAGCTGTAAAAATCATGAGTCAACCATGATGGATACTGATGTGAAGTACCCTCTGGGTTACCAACTGAAAGAGTGTAGGGAGAAAGTATATTTAGGTTTGCATACATTGTGACTTGAGGCTATTCAAGGTTTCATTAATTGATTGCCCGCATGTGTTGAATTTTTTGTATGCTTTCAAATTTTTATGTTTGTAATTTTTCTAAAAGTAACAGAGGAAAGCTAAGTCATGCTGGTGATGAAAAAGGAAAACTCTCTTAAAGAGGGACATAAAATATCTCCTCTACAGATCCAAAGGGTACCTAAAGGGCTGAGGTAGTAAATGCCTTCTAGCCATTTCTGTGTGCTTTGAGGTTGTGTATCTGACCCTGCTTGAGTCCAGGTGGGCATTGCAACACACAGGGGCAGTCTGGTGCCAGCACCTGATCAGCTGATTCAGGGCTTTCACATAAAATGAAACCAGTACATTTGATGTAGAAGGGAGTAAAAATGATGTACTTTGAAGTCTGTCATAAAAATTACCTTTAAGTTTAAATTGGGCTTAACAAAGCCACAGCAATTTCTTGTAGACTCAAATCAAAACCATAAGCTGGCCACTTTAAAAAGGAAAGAGGATGAAGTAGGCTCGGATTTTATCCTCCTTTCCCAAGAAAACAGTGGTTATGATAGCATCATGGTTATATACGTGCCTGTATTCTTATTGTCCCCTGCTAGCCCTTTGTATAATCAAGGGATAAATTAAGGGATGAAAATATAAAAAATGTATGTATTATGCCAGGGAAGAAAAATAGATGTACACAAATTTTGTTATCTACCAAGGAGACAAAGTGAATTTAGTCCTATCAGGCACAAGACCCCAAAACAATACAAAAAAACAGGCGGAGAACAGCCACAGGAAAACAATCCTTGTAAGATCCACTTACAAAATTTTGGTTCTTTCAGAGCATCCAAGCACACCTAATACTAAACAGCAACATCACAATATGTTATTCCTACTAGTTCAAATTATCCAATCGGTGTAATTCTCCATCTTGTATTCCCAACAGTGGCAGAGACTAAGCAGTCCTCAATCATTTGATGCTAAATTAAATTGCATTTCAGTTTGCTTGTACTGACAAAAATTAATCTGAAGACCTACTTTCTTTTTTTTAAGCTGTGTATTTTGCGTAGTAGGAAGACGAAAGAGCCTTAACTTTAACAACTTTGAAGTATGAGATTAGAATAATAGGGCATAGATGACTGAATCGACTCCTGGTTAAATTCAGCAGAAATAAATTGACTGATTGCGTTCACAGCTCTGGTTTCTGGCTTCTCTCCCAGCAGCAAAGGAGCAACTTCCATCAAACATGCTGGTGAACGTAGCCATGGCAATGATCCAGACTGCAACATGACTACAGGGAATGGAGAAGCAGGCACCTTTCTGTTCAGAAAGTCAGCTGTCCTTGATGTGCTTTTAAGCACTCTAGTAATTTCTGATGGTTAGAAAACAAAGGGGTTGTGGATTGAAGTTCAGGAAAAGAATTGTCTGTAGTTTGTCCTTTCTGGGCTCTTCTTTTGTTACCAAAAATAGGTTCTGCCTAAGCAAAGCTGGCAGGTTCTTGATATGCTTTAATTATTATAAATCACAGAAAAGAAAATGCTGTCCTCAAAGGCACTGTCTGTCCCTGTTTGAGTGTATATAACCAAATGGATCTTGTCAACTACACCTACTGCATTTTTTGAAACATCTTTCCACGGAGCATTTAGAGGGATGCAAACTTTTAACTTTTGGGGACAATGGAAAGGCAGTTACTTGTTTTCGTTGTTCAGTTGTTTTAACAGGGAGCTTGTCTGAAAATTATTTTACTGTGTCACTGTTTTTTAACCTGGCATTGTCCTTATGTTTAGGCCTTTCCAAATACCTTAGGAAATTTGGAGTTTGACAGATTCTCTTTTTTAACCTACTCCTTCTTAGGGCTGTGATCCTGCAGACTCTCTGTATGCATGTTTTATTGTCTTTAATTTTGTACATAGAAATATGAAACACAGTAATGTCAATGTCAAACCGTTTCTGCAGGGCAGAAAAAAGAACTGATTCTGCCTGAAAGCAGGGAATTGGTAATGATATAAAAAAGCAGTTCTACCAGTGACTTAAACCTTTCGACTATCAGAAAAAAGATTATTTCTACTGCTATTTGTTCAGATATCTTTGTGAGGAACATTATGGTTGCCTCATAAAAAATAGAAAATTGTTTCAAAAAAGGTCACTTTTCAGGCTTTTCTTACAGTGTTTGTGAAGGTTGCAAGAGTTACTTCTATTATCTTTATTTGCAAGTGTTAGGAAATAGAAGTTAATCAGTCACAATAGAGTATTTCCTTCCAAGCAAACCAATCTTCTGCCCCAGTCACAACATGCTGGCAGCTTCTCAGGTACCCATCCACCTTTTCTCCTCCGGTTTGGCAGCCAGCAGTTCCTAATCCAACCTCTCATCTAAGAGGCCACAGATTCGGTCCTTCCCTCAGGCCAGCTAAGGTTCTACTTTGACTCTGCCACATGGAAGCTGCTACCTCACTTCATCTCCAGTTTGAAGAGAGACAAAAGTTGGGCCCTTCTGTGACAGTACAGTTGGGATCCACAGCAGGGCAAGAGGCCACCTTCTTTGCCTTTCACAGTGGGAAAGGAAGCACAGTAGTTTTCAACAAACCTTTGATTTGCTGCTATTTTCTGCAAACCTGTTAAGTGGACGGTTCTTGGTCAATGTTTGCCCCACTGCTCTTATTCACAAAACACCTTCAATTTCGCATGATTATTTGTCTTGCATCTTTGTCAGGTTGTACCCTTGTGGGTCTCTGCTGCTTGAAAATAGGGAAATTTGGGGTTCGTTCACTCAGTAAAACCAGGATTTCCCAAACTCATTCTGCATTGCTGTTAGGTTTGCATTTTTTCCACCTAAGAACAGAGACTTTGGCATATAACCACCCTACTTTTAGTTGAGTGTCAGTGAAATGGGTCTCTGCTGTTATTCTCTCTTTCCTCCCACCTTCTGCCTCTTTTTTGTCTGCAGAAAAGATGGGTCAGATGGGAAGGTGTAAGAAATCTTTGTAGGCATGAAAAAGAAAGAACTTTTTTTCCAGTTTGTGTGTGTATATATAGTCAGCTGGGAGAATGTATGTTATGGTTGGGTTTTTTCCCTACTGAGACAATCAGTACAATATAACTGCGAAGGTAAGTATTCTGTACACATGACTGTGCATCAACATACTCCCAAAAATGCCATGGGTTAGATAAATCAAAAATCGCATTAGCTGATAAAACAGTAACATGGATACTGTTATTTATTCTATCAGTCAAGCCTGAGATAAGGGTTTGTGTCTATGCTGATGACTACCACATCAGCTGGGATACTGTTATGGAGGCAAACTCCTCCAGAGCACTGTGTCTGCAAGGAGCTCTGTGAAAGAGGAACATGGGGCCAAGGTTTTTACTGCTACTGCTACAGGTTCTATGGTTGGTCAAAGTCTCACATTTGTTGCCTAAACTAAAGTTAGGTTTTCTCCCAAAACCTAATTTAGGTTTTAGGTCTCTTCCCAGAAGCTGTCTCTTCCCAGAAGTAATCGTCCTGCTCTCGTCTGCAGTCGGGCAGCCTCGTCTGGAGACCAGTGTGCAGTTTTGGGTGCCATAACAGAAGGTATAAAGCCATTAAAGAGGGTGTAAAGGTGATGAAGGGCCTTGAAGGGAAGCCATATGAGGAGCAGCTGAGGTCACTTGGCCCGTTCAGCCTCGAGGAGACTGAAGGGAGACCTCAATGCAGTTGCAACTTCCTTGTGAGGGGAAGAGGAGGGGCAGGCACCGATCTCTCCTCTCCAGAATGTGAATTTGTGACCAGTGTCACAAACTCACAAAGTTCGTGGATCAGGTGACCAGTGACAGGACACAAGGGAATGGCCTGTAGTTGTGTCAGGGAAGGTTTAGGGTGGCTATCAGGAGAAGGTTCTTTACCCACAGGGTTGGGTACTGGAACAGGGTCCCCCCAGCACCAAGCCTGACAGAAGTATTTGCACAAAGCTCTCAGATACAGGCTGTGACTCTTGGGGATATCCTGTGCAGGGCTGGGAGTTGGATTTGATGATGCTGGTGGGTCCCTCCCAGCTCAGGATGGGCTGTGATTCCGCAGGACGCGGGCTGACCCTCGGGCAGGGTCGTCTGTGCTGGGTCTGGGGCAGTCTGTGCTGGGGCTGGGGCAGTGTGTGCTGGAGCCGGGCCGTGTGTGCTGGAGCTGGGGCAGTGTGTGCTGGGGCTTGGGCAGTGTGTGCTGGGGCTGGGGCAGTGTGTGCTGGGGCTGGGGCAGTGTGTGTTGGAGCCGGGCCGTGTGTGCTGGAGCCGGGCCGTGTGTACTGGGGCTGGGGCAGTGTGTGCGGAGGCCCGACCGTGTGTGCTAGGGCCGTGGGGCGCGCTGGGCCCAGGTCAAGCCGCGCACGGGCAGGGGCGGAACGCTCGCCAGGGGGCGCCCTCCGCCGCGGCAGGGCTGCGCGGGGGCCCGGGGCCGTCGGGGGTGGCGCCCGGGGGGGCGGGACGGGCGCCGAGCTGAGCCGAGCTGAGCCGAGCCGAGCTGAGCCGAGCTGAGCCGAGCCGAGCCGACTAGACTAGACTAGACTAGACTAGACGAGACTAGACTAGACTAGACTAGACTATAGGCGGGGGAGCCAAGCCAGGCTGTTGCGTTCTTTTCCTGGCCCTCAGGCGAGGAAGGCACCTGAAGGAGCGGCGGCGCCCAGAGGGGTGGGAGGTAAGGCTGGGCCGGCGCACGAGAGGGTGGAGGGTCGGTCCCGCCGCCTACAAACTTTCCGCCGTGAGTGGGACGCGTTTGCGGTGCGGCAGCGGCTCGCCTGCTCCCTGCTGCACTCGGTCCAAGCGGAGGTGACAGCCTTGCCCAGCTCCTCCAAGCCCGCGGGGACTGCCGTGCTTGGGGGCTCGGCCGGTGCCAGCCCCGCGGGGTGGGGCTCCTGCTGCTCCGCGGCCGCGCTGCCCTGGCGCCCCCGGGCCTTCTCCTGAGGCGGGCGCGGGCGGAGGCGGAACGTGCCCCTGGTGCCGGCCGGAACGACCGGTGGTGGGCGCTGCCTGGGAGGATGGGATGGTGCTGGTGAGCGCGCTCCGCTCCGAGCAGCAGCCCAGCACGAAGGTGCGCTTTCCCAAGTGCTCATCTTTCCTTTTACTTTTCTTTTTTCTTTTTTTTTTTTCTTGGGGGGGGAGGGGGTGGGCGTTATCTGTTCATTTGTTCGTTTCCCTTTTCCCCATCCCGTCTCTCAGAGGTAGGTCTCCGTGTCCTTCCTCCAGAGCTTCAGGAGCCGGCTCGGTGCTGCGCGGGAGCCGCGGGCTCTCTGGACCTGCTGCCCTCGGCGGGTGCCCGAGCGCGGCTGGACGAGCTGGGCTGGGCTGGGCCGGGCCGGGCGCAGAGCTCCCGCCGCCTCTCCGCACCGTGCTCTGGCGCAGGGAGGCGAGGTCCGGAGCCCTGCGTGCTGGTCCTGTTGTAACCGTGTAGAGCAGAGGGGTGGGAGACTCAGCAAGGAGCTTGTCGTCTTCCGTGGAAAATGCTGAGACACAGCCTCTTAAAAAAGGGCAATTTTGCTGCCCTTTCTTTAATGCTGTGGGCGAAGTTAGTGTCTCAAGAAACGTGCCGTGCAGCTGACCTGCCAGGTCTGTTGTAAAGACACAGGCTCGAGGTGCTGGATTTTACTTTTAGTTTTCAAGGTTGCTCAAGGAAAAATGATTTGTGTTAAACTCCTTGTTCCCTAGTGGAACACAGTATCTGAAATCCCTGCAAGTCTTTGCAGTCACAGTGTGACAGCCTGACAGCTGCTGTCTCAGAGACGGACCCAGGGCTTGTTACGGAGAAATGCTTAATTGCCGGTGCAAGGACTCACACGCCCTAGAGGTACCCACTGTTGGCTTAAAAGAGAACTGCAGTGCAAGTGCAGGCAAAGGCTATTGGAGAGTCCTGCTTGAAGGTGATTGACCCTGCCGATCATCTGTCTTCTGGCAAGACTGCTGCCAGCCAGCATTTGAAGGTGTAGAAGCCTTCTTGCTTCCATTTGATGGTCAAATCAGCCTGTTCTGGGACTGGTTGTGGACAGCTTTCATAAATAAAATATTCTGATTGAATAGCTGTATGGTGGTCTAAAGGATAATGGTGTTTGAGGACTCTTCCCAGCCCTGCCTAAATTTCAGCAACTTTTTATATAGGCATCAGGATTGCCTCTATTCTCCAAGATTTTTAGTTGTATTTTACACACAGATATAAATTGTATTTAATAGGAGATACTTGTGAGACAATGTTCTGGACATACCTAACTGGACAATTTATGTGCTGGTTTTCACTGCAGTAGGTAGAGGAGAGCCCGTTTCCCGCTTTTCCACAGCAAAGCATGTTATTAAAGATTTGCACGAGTCTCTGAGTGGACCAGTAATTGTGACCTGTAAGCAGGTTGCTCTTCCCTGCTCCATGGCACACAGAAAGGAGCATTCCAGGAACACAAAAACAGCTCAAAAAACCCCAAACATAAGAACAACAACAAAAACAAACAAACAAACAAAAAACAAAACAAAACCCCCAAAAACCAAAAAAACAAAACCAAACAAACAAAAACCAAAAAAAACCCAAACCAAAACAAAAAAACCCAAAAAAACACCAGAAGGAGGAAACTGATGTTTTTTAAACAGACAATATGCACATCTGAAAGTGGACTGTAGGGTAGAAAGAAAAGGAGCACAAGGTAGAGTACAGTCAAGCCATACTGAATTCCAGAAAGTGCTAAAGAGAAAAGGAGGTGGGTGCAGAATGGCAGGATGTTGCTTGGCATCAAGCCTCTTGCAATGATGATTTTATGCAGTTTGCTGGTGTGTTGGTGTAGTAGCTGATGCTGCTTAGAACGCATTAGCGAGTGATGTGAGACTTGGGACTGGACCAGATCACTTCAGTTTTTTTGCTGGTGTTTCTCTCCTGAAAAATATTCTTTATTAACTGCCAGCAAAGTACTTGGAATCGTTAGGCCCCTGGGGAAGGTATTTGTGTTTTGGAACAGAAACTGAGAGAAACAGAGAGGTCCTAGTGCCCTGGGAACCATGACCACAGAGTGATTTGGAATAGCAGTTGTTTAAAAATGTTATAGGACAAACATGGTGCTCATCTTTGTTTAATATTTAGTCTTTATCACTAGTTAGGTAAACTGATATTTTAGATGGAATTTTTTAGGCAAAACACAGTGCTATTTTCAGTCTTCTGTTTTAGGGTATTGTCTCAAAATTAGAGACTTTGGCACCTTTGACAGATAGATAAATGTCTTGTGAGCCTCTTCTGAGCCAGTGACTTAGGCAATAACTGTCCAGATAAGATGGAGAGAGAAACCTAAAATGAGTCAGCTAGAACTGGAATTTTAAGCTAAGTACTGCAGAATTAAATTTATTTCCAGGGAAACTATACTGTGCTATTCCACTAAGGTTGTGGTGATGGGTAATTAGCGTATTAGTATATTAAAGGAGAAATACTTGCGGAGGAACTGCAGATACGGCTGAAGATCATTTATGTGTGGTGTAACTGAGAGGTTCTTTTAAAGGCATTTGGACCAGACAAGAAAAGCAGAGGAGGTTTTGCTCACTGTTCTTGTTACCCAGTCTTGCTGCAGCACTCCCCTTTCTCTTTTGTGCTAGTTCTCATATGCAGTGGGTCTTCTTCTCTGATTTTAAAGCTTTACTTTTGAACAAAACTATGGATTTTATTTGTTTGGGTATTTTGGATAATTTTTTGTTTGTCTGATGGGCTTAGGAAAAGGTTCAACAACTATTAAAGCAGGACAAGGATGTGAGATTGGAAAGAGGGAAAGGGAGGAAGAAAGAATGTAAAACTTGGCCATCTGGTCTTGTGAACCATCACTGTTGTTTGATTTCCCCTGGAAGGATACCAGGGGACTTTGCCTAATCAGGTAGCTTAATGGGACCACACTTTTTAACAGCAGGGGGCTCTTTAGCCAAGAGTTTCTAAAAACTGTTTGGTCTAGGAAGTCTGTCATCGGTTTTAATCCAAGACATGTGCTGCTTCTGCTGTTGAGGTCATTTGCTTACCACACCAACACAATCAAATAAAAAATAAAAAGGTTGTTTTGTTGTTGTTTTTTTTTTTTATTTTGAAGATTCAACATACCCTTATGCTGACAAAAGGTGTAGGTTTTTAATCTAGAAAGAATTTAGTAGGTTCTGTGGATAATAGCATGCAGTATATCCAGGTGGTTGGTAATAGATGACCACTTCTGTCTTAAAAATAACTTTCTTTCCACTGTAGTGAGCATTAGTTTTGGATCTCGGATTTTTGTTTTTTGTGATTTAGCCCTTACTACCACTTGAGTATAGAAAAAAGGAAAAAAAAAATTATGCCACTCTAAAGTTTCAAAGCAAATTCTACCAGATAGAAGAATGCACCCTCTGGAGAGGGTGCTGAACAGGTGTTTAAAGCAGCCTCATGAGCCCTCATACCAGACATTGACTTGGGTGGCACTTCCAGTGTCCTGAAACTGGAAAGGTGTGATGGGGGGCTGATTTCTTGCCCTTTGGTTATTCATTCCTTACTTCAGCTCCTCATCTCCGCAGAATTGCAGTTTATCTTTTCCAGCTCACAACTGTCTGTATTTCAAAGTAATCCAACCTCTCATTGATCAGTACAATACAGTACAAATGCTAGGAGCTTTAACTTTTTCTTCTTTTAACCAGGAAAAAAAATTAAGAAAATCTTGAAATTTAGTCACCTTTTTTTTCTTAAAAGAAATTTTAAGTGGCTTTGAAATTTTTACTAGTTTTAATGATTAGTAATTATTTTCACTTTCCCATTTTAGTGTCTCCCTCCCTCCCTCCCCCCACCCCCTCTTTGTTCTTGTACCCACCGGCATGGTATTAGAGTGCTTGATGAAGATAGACATTGAAGTGGTGTCTATTCACAGATATATTGAAGCCAATACAATATAAAAACCTGAACAAACAGACATGGTTTTGTTTCTTTTGATCTCCAGTTACAGCAGAGATAGAAAGTTACAAAAAGATTTATTGTAAGAGTTATGTGTAACAGCATTAGTCTAGAATTTTTCATGAGAACGTTCAGTACTTAATTTTTAAGTACTCTTTTAAAGAAAAAAAAAGTCAATACTTAGTTATTTGACTTTAAATAGTAGAAGACCATATTCAATTTCAGAAAATGCAGTTCTTTTCACAGGAGTAGAAAGTTGCATATTGTTTCCTCACGGAGGGTTAAGACTGAATTCCAGGTGAGAAATGTGAAAATAGTATTGGTTACAGTTACTTCTTTTTTCTTCTATAAGATACAGTTAACTGTAACTTGTGAAAGCACAGATTTTTTTACAGAGAGCTAGCATGAGCAGTTCTTAAATAGCTGTGTTCCCTATAAAAGCTTGGCTGATGTCAGTTAGGTAAGCTTACCTGAATACCCCAGATTATCATCTAATGAGGTCTCTCTTCCTCCCTTTCAAAAAACCCCAAGCAGCCTGCATTTTGGAAGTGTGAGTCACAATTGACAATGAGTTAATAGGTATATCTTTCTTCTGTTCATTGAAGCACCTCTCCAGAAGAGCAGATGGAGGAAGTGAATGTTTCCATGCTGTCCAGGGATGAGCTCTTTTTAGGTCAAGGTGCTGTCATTACCTAACCAAAACATGCTGTGATTCCATGGAGAACTGATAGAATCCAGTTAGAATCCACTAGGCTGTGCAAGGTTGTTACAAGTCATAG